ATGGGCTGGAGAGTTTTTGTGTTAATCTGACAGAAGCCAGGGTTATCTGAAAGGAAGGAAACTAACTGAGAGGGGGAAATACGTCCATAAGATCCAGCTGTCAGGGAGGGCCCAGCCCATGGCAGGTAGTACCATGCCTAGGCTGGGGTTCTGGGTTCTATAAGAAAGCAGGCTGATCAAGCCCTGGGAAATGAGTCAGTAAGCAGCACACACTATTCTATGGCCTCTGCATCAGCTCCTGACTCCAGGTTCCTAGCCTGTTTGAGTTCCTGTCCTAACCTCCTTCAATGAAGAACTACAATGTGGAAGTGTAAGCCAAATAAACACTTTCTTCCCCAACTTTCTTTTGGTCATAGTGTTTCATCACTGCAATAGAAACCCTAACTAGGACACCTTACAAAGCAAAATCTTCAATCTGCCAATTAATGTGTATGTATTAATATATGTGAAAAATACTATTTATGTGTCCTTTTTAAAAGAAGGAGTCCCCCCACACACACACACACTGCAAGAGCTTTAATTAGAAGGCAAGCTGTATCTCTCAGTAGGCTGGCAAAGAAGTAACTATGTTCACAAAGCCAGTGTCATTAGAATTGAGGTGGCCACATGGCAGCCTCCTCCTGGTGAAGCCTGGCTTACCAGCCATCCCTGTCGGGCTTCTGGGAACACAAATGCAGGGAAGCCATTTGGTTGAGCAGGAAGGGAAGCTTCAACTCAAATGTTATCTGAGCACCAATCAGTGAGACATTAGAAAATTTTATCCCAGTTAACCTAATTGTCTACATTATACCAATCTCTGCAAAAACATTTCTGTCAAAACACAAACAGGCAAGAAACCCAAAACAAAGCAGATAAACTGTGACATCTTCTTGGGTAATTCTATTACTTCACTCAGCATCTTACTGCAAACAAGGAGTTCAGGGGCCCTGCAAGAGCTTCTATCATAAAAGCTAGCTCACATAAGAAATGGGTTTAATCTTATGAAATAGAAGCACAGTTTGATAGAAGGCCTGAAGTTAAATAAAACCTGGGGCACTTCCTTCTATTGTATGTATAATAAGGTTGTACTATGACTGATGATATGTAAGATAGGGACCAAGATGAGACCCTGCTTTTCTAAGGGGTGCCACGCTTCACTCACCATCTCTCCCTGACAACCATCAAAAGTAAAATGTGAGAATTTACCACAAAAGACAGAGGAATGCAGTAATGTCTCATGATAGGTCTTGGGTCGGATTATTTATACAACAAAGCTATTATCAAAGTTAACTAACACTCCTCTGCTAAAATAATGTTTACACCTAAAGAAATCATTAAAAATGGATAAAAATTTTGAAGGATAAATACAGAAAATTTTAGATGTTTCTGATGGGTACTAAAATAGATAATTGCTGAATGGTTTGCAGGGCCCTTTAAAAATACTAAAGAGAACAACAATGTGATCCAGTGATTCCATTGCTGTATATGCAAAGGCAATAAAATCAGACAGCTAGAGAAGCATCTACATTCTCATACTCATGACAGCCCCACTCATAAGAGCTAAAAAGTAAGCAACAAGTGATGAATGAAGGGAGAAAACATGGTCATATTCAAAACGGAGTACTATCCATCCATAAAAAATGAAACCCTGTCACCTATGGCAACTGGAACTGGATGGAACTGGAGACCATTGAGTTACAGAAAATAAGCCAGACACAAGCAGACCAGTACCACCTGATCTCACCTATATGTGGATCTCACAGAGAACTGTCATAGAAACTGAATCAGATGGTCACCAGAGGCTAGGGTGGTGGGGGAAATGTTGATCAGAAGGTGTTACATTACAGCTAGACTGGAGCAAAGGGTTCTTGTGTAACAGCAACTGTACATTTCAAAAGGCTACAAGAAAGGATTTTAAAAAGTTTTAAACACAAAGAAATGATGACTGCTTGAGGTTAAGTATATTTAACCAATTTAAACATTACACAATGTACACGCCTATCAAAACAGTACTCGGTGATAGGTATATTTTTATGCCTATCAAAACAGTACTCAGTAAAGGTATATTTTTATGTTTCTTCATTTAAAAAAGTGAATTGAAAACACAATGACTAGGAAGGAAACTGGATTCTGCTTATGACTGATGTCCCCACCAGGAATACAATCCGAATTCTCATGGGCCCAACCCTCAGCCTAGTCCTTACGTCATCGCTATACTGGCAAAGGTCAAGAGACCAAGAAGGGGATTCTGAGAGGAGAAAACAAAATCAAGTTGGGGTTGAGAAGGAAGACAAAGAAGAAAGAGGGCAATAGGATACATGTGACATAGAAACAGTGGTCACTGGGGGTGAAGGAGACCAATACTGTGGGCAGAGGGCTCGGAAAGGCTAGTGGGGTCAGAGAATAACAAGAACAAAGCACTGCAAAACCCCCTAATGAAACACATTTACTGTTTGTACCAGTTTTGAAAATAATAATATATAAATAAAATATGATTCATCTGTGAAATCCCAAATTAAATATAAAGTGATCTGCACAGATCCCACAGGCAGGAGTCCCAAGGTTCCCAGGATAAGTATATCACCAGACTTGAAGGTACTTTTGTCAACTATGGCATTAGGAACTATTTTTCCAGATGGTACAATGTCTTACTATCAAAAGGAAAGGAATTGTCTTCCTTTTTCTCTTATCCAAAAATGGATCTCTAGACAGTCTTGAAAACAGCAGCAGGACAACAGTTGGCAGCTACAGTTCTCTGAACCTTATTTATTATGTATATCTACCAGAAATACACACCCAACATTGGGAAATCATACACACGCACTACTGTAAATTCCCAGGGGAACCATGCACACATACTATTACAAATCCACAGATGTAGAAAACCTTAAATTCTGAATTTTGATGTGGAAAACTAAAAGCAGCAAGTATGCAATACAAATTTCTCTTCGGAGGCTCACGGCTTAAGCTTGTTCATGTGCAGGCTCATTGCTAGTTGATACTCATGGATTCCTCTTATCCAAGGTCTTTAAAAAAATCAGAGCCAGGCACTGGTGGTGCACGCCTTTAATCCCAGCACTCAGGAGGCAAAGGCAGGTGGATCTCCGTGAGTTTTGGCCAGCCTGATCTCCAGAGCGACTGCCAGGATAGGCTCCAAAGCTACACAGAGAAACCCTGTCTCAAAAAAACAAAACAAAACAAAAAAAAACAAAAAAACAGAAACAAAAACAAAAACAAAACAAAAATCAGAGACATTCAGAAGTGCCTGGGAAGGTTTGTAATAATTCTGATTGAATGGAGAAATGAATATCATGTCTGGTTATAGATAATGGCCTCAGTACCCTGCTTATAAAAACCATAGCCATCACTTACAGTGGTACAGTACACTCAATCTCACCCACGATCAAATTTAAGCCAATTGTAAGTCACACCCAGGAGTAATCAGGGATCAAATTCTTTGAAGCAGCATCATCCAACCACAAAGCTGAAGTCATGAGAGGAAAGCAGCACATTGACAACGTGCCATGTCAAGAAAACAACATCTCTGGATTTTCAACAAAATTACATCATTTGTAATCACCTTAAGAAACAGCTACTGGTGGGCTGGTGAGATGGCTCACTGGGTAAAAGTGTTTGCTGTCAACCTGGTTTTAATCTGTGGGATCCAGATGGCAGAAGGAGAGAAATGACTCTTGAAAGTTGTCCTCTGACCTCCACATGTGCACAAAGCCAACCCCCCAAACACAATCTAAATGAATAAATGAAAGCAACTTTTTAAAAAGGAACATCTATTAAGCAGTTTTCCTTCACACCCAAGTGGGTTTATATATGACTCCCATAGCTCTACATATATCATAGCACTGGAGAACAAGAATTCATTCACCCTTAGTAATTCTAAAAGTTAGTGCAAATGTAACACAAAGGAATTACACATATCTGAGGAAGTGGAACTAATAATTGCTGTAGTTTGGCCAACATGCATTATTCACATGTATATAATGATCGCAGTGTACCCTGTAGATAATTACAATGCGTGTCAACTGAAAAACACTTTTGGGACAGGGTCTCTGTACCTTATTCTAGCTCACCTGGAGCTCACTATGTAGAGACCAGACTGGCTTCAGACTGGCAAAGACCTGAATCCACTCCTCAGTTAAAGTTTTTTTAAATCTATAAATGCCCTGAGGGAAACTGACTTTGTATGTATGTGCTAATGTTCCCACTTGCAAGTCCATGTGAGTGTGCATGAGTTTGTGTGTGTGCATCAGTGTATATGCAGTCATACATTTGTGCCTCGTGTGTGCATGGAGAGGCCAGAGTGTTGCTTTTCATAAGTCACCATGCATTGATTTTTTTTAAGACAGTGTCTCCAGTTAGAGCTAGAACTCACCAATTCAGCTAGACTGGCTGGCCAGGGAGCCCAGAGATTTTCCTGTCTCCATCTTACCAGTGTAGCGTTACAAATGCCCCCCCTTTTTAAATGTGGGCACTAGAGACGGAACTTAGGTCTTCAAGCTTGCTCATCAAGCACTTTCCACTCAGCCATCTCATCTTCCCCGGTCTGACTCTTATGTTGCAGTCGTTGTTTGTTGTTCATCAGTTACCTTTCTTTCAGGATGCATCTCTTCCAACCATTACAAAGAGCCTTTTTTATCCTTTCCTATTTGGATAATGGCAACAATGTCTCCTTCTCATGGCATGAAACTGGCCAAAGGAATTAGAGCCACAGTCCAAAGCCACAGGCTCAAGAGCCAGCCATAAAGAAACAATATCACCACCACCACAGACAAAGCCCTTCAATGGTACCTCCTCAGACCTCCTGGGACCCAGAAGCATCAGCCAGCCAGCCGAGAGATGAATGGCTGAAGACTTCAGAGAACCCAGCCACATAAGAGCTAATGGTTTAGCTAAAAGGTGGGAAGAAAAATCTACCCAGAGAAACAGATGGTAAACTGTAAAGTACATTCTTGACTTGAAACAGAAAGCACACACCGCACATCTGAGTTTTCTGACAGACCTACCTTCAAGTGAGGAATTCCCCAGGACTGTCCAGCCCAAAGGCAGTTCCAGTTGGCTCAGAGCCAGCACCAGTTCTTCATCCAAGGCAGGCAGCGCTTCTGCCGTCAGGGCAAATGGGGTTAGCAGCATCTGGTGACTACAGGCCGTGAGTCGGTCAGCCTGAGTGACCAGTAGACGAGCCAGTCGGCAGGCCATATTGTCCACATAGGTCACTGAGCCAGAGCCCATGGTCACTGGAGAGTACCCTTCCGAGCAGAGACACACAGACACCATCACCGTCTCCTGAAGCCAGTGGCCTAGATGACAGGATGACAAACACTTTAGCTCATGTCTGAAGGAGACACACAGTAGCCCTGGGTAGGCAACACTCTCCAGGGGTCAAGTAGAAAGTAAGGTGTCATCTCTAAATACCACGATCCTGGGGTCACTCCAGAGATGATATCTTTTTTTTTGGTGATGGGTTTTAAATGATCCTTTGGAACTTCAGAGTCTCTTCCCACCAACCACCGTCCTTTGCCACACTTCCTTTCCCTTCTACCTAAGCCCTGGATTCCAGTCTGCCATCTGAAGGGTCTTCACTATTTCTGTCCTGCTATAAACAGGGTCACACATTCTTAGCCATTTATTGAGGTAACAGATTTTTTAAAACTGTATCAGAAATATATACAAGTGCACCCTAATTCTACAGAGCGGCTTTGAAAGTGGGGTGAAGACCCCTTAACTAGACTCTGTGTGCATGAACACATTCAACAAAAAGCAGGAGTTTCCCAGGGCCCCCTCCAGAAAGGGCCCCTGTGTCCTGTCTTCTCACTACTTCCAGTGTGGCTGCTCACCCTGCTCCCTGCTCTCCTTACACTCTTCTTTGTCTTGCTTTCCCATTCTGCTAAGGTTGGCGAACTGCTGCCCAGCTATGTGTTTTTTTCCTTTGGTAGAATTTCCAAGAAGTCAATAGCTTCCAACCCCTGGGACCATATGATGGCTGGACTGAGAAGAGTCCCTGAACTTCCCCTGAGCACAATGCCCTTGTACTCACTAGCAAGTGATCATAGGTCTGCATCCTCCTGCCTGCCTGACCCTCCAAGCTTTCCCACAAAGGCTATGCTGCCGGAATTCCAAAGACCAAGAGCATCAGGGTTACTAGACAAGATTCGTTGGCATCCTCATAATGACTCTCAAAAGATGCCAACCCACAGACAGTACCTATTGAGTATAGATTGCAGGACATACTTTCCATCACTTGGTAGATGACCCTGGTGAAGCTAACCATTCCTAATACTCAAGGGTTGCCTCACTGAATCTATAATCAGATAAGTTTAAGGTTAACAAATAAACTGTCACTCACCCACAGGGAACCTGACAAAATGAAGACAAGGGCTGGCCCTCACTTTAAGTGGGCCATTAAATAAGGAGAGATAGCTTTAGCACATCAGAGGGCAATGAGGTTGGTCCCTCCAGGTAAACAAGAAAGAAACAAAACAAAAAGTTTTCTATCACAAGGGACATTTTTGTTATTTTTATTCTTTTTCTATAGGTTGCTCATTAAAAGGGAAAACATAAGGAACCTGGAATAGAAAGGATGTCAATGTATTGGCCCAGAGTAAAAGGGTAGCAGGGAAGGGACCAACAGCAGAATGACAAGGGCCATTAACAAATACAGCAGTATGATTGATTGATTGATTGATTGATTGACTGACTGACTGACTGACTGACTGATTGATTGATTGATTGATTGATTTTTGAGACAGGGTTTCTCTGTGTAGTCCTGGCTGTCCTGGGACTCGCTCTGTAGACCAGGCTGGCCTCAAACTCAGAGATTCACCTGCATCTGCCTCCTGAGTGCAAGGATTAAAGTTGCATACACCACCACCTGGCATTTGGGTTTCTTTTGTTATATATGAATTCCTGGGGCTGCCAGGCTGACCACAGAGGAATGAGGAAGGAGAATGAAGACATGGTCTGTCATGTCACCTTGTCCAGAGCCAACTCAGGCATCAGGCTGGGACTAAGGAGGTGACACCCAAGGCATATCCTCCATTGGCTGCACACTAGACCTTGAGAGCTGTGGGCGGCCCGTTGGCTAAGCTTGCTGGGACTAAGTCAAGGTAGACACTATTGGCGGGCCCCCAGGAGTTAGTGGCAAAGAGCAAGTGTCTTCCCTAACAGCATGCACATACACCCACATGAACTCCTGACCTTGGCTAGTGTTTCTTCTTTTCCCTCGTGATTCTCCTCTGGCAGATGCCCTGGAGGGAAGACATAGATGTGCACCCCCCATCACTCAGAGGCCTCCTCACCTGGAATGCTGGATTGGAGAACATTATCCTCGGTGCGCTCAGCAATCACTACATGTCTCTGCTGCGACCCATCATAAATAAAGTAAAACTCGGCATCTTCAGGAAGATAAACATTTTTGCCAAACTTTGCATAGACCGTCCTCTGTCCCTGAAAAACGAGTAAGTCTGGGCATCAGTACACTTCCTTGTTCTGGCTCTGAGAAACCACAGGGGAAGGGCACAGGCCCACAACATTGACACTTGTCATATGCACTTCATGTGAGTGAGCTCAAATGTCACAGAGCCTCCGACCAACAATGACCTTTTCCCAGGAACACCTTACTGATGTGTCTAGTATGGGAGTAAGAGCTGGCCTACACTTTCTGAAAGTCAAAGAAGATCAAGGAATAGGAAGGAATCATTCTTTTAATTTGCTAGATATGTGACTGTGATTTTTTTCAGTACCTTGAATTCCTACTCCCCAAACATCACTGTGCATAATAATGTTATCCCATATGTGAAATACCACTGGCCTACTAGAATCGCAATAGTTATTCTTAGCTTAGGCCTTAGCATGTGCTAGACCACTGTACAATACATTAAACATAAATACTCACAGACATTTTTCATATAAACAAGAGTTTTTACTCACATGCTGTACCAACTGCCTTGACCCCGTCTTCTCTGAGTGACCCCATGTCCTCTGAGTGATGTCTAAGCCCTTTTTATCATCTGGGTTGGCCTCCTCTTTTGTCTTAAGAGTTTCTGGCTAATACAAAGCCTTACAAAGTGTCCTGGTTCCCAGAAGAAGCATTCCTCCAAAGGAATGACAACAGAGTTGTGGTCTTGGTACAGGAGGCCTTGTCAGGGGCTAGCTGACAGTCAAGCCTGCCAGGTCATCCCAGGATCCTGCAGGCCTCAGAGGATTCAGGATGCTCCCTGCCTGGAGTACACAAAGGCAGCCTAGAGCAGGTCTCCAGGGAGAGAGGATGCATTCTGCCCAGCCCAGGGGAGTGACAGGGAGATGAAAGCCAGGAGAATAGATATCTACTCTAGAGACTTGCACAGCTTACTCGATATGGAGAAGGCTCTGGGTGTCTGTGTAGCTGCCTAACCAAAATAAACCTGTTTCTCATCCTGGGAAAGGGAGAAGAAGCCAAGAAGAGTCAGAATAAGGCTGCTGGACATGAGTGTCAGTCCCACAGTCCCCTACAGCATGACACTGCAGGATGCTAACAGTTAAGTTAAGGAGGAGCAAAACACCAGCCCAAATGGGGCTCCTGCGCCCAGTGACCATATCATTATTTGATCTAAAAAAATGTTTTTGAAATAAAAAATGCTGTCTTTTCATACTCTTGCAATCTCACTCTCAGAAAGGCCTCTAAAATTATGAATTAAAAGTGCTTTGGGAAACACACTGGTGTTCAGTTCCAAATTTTCCTGTCTTTGCATGTAAGCGTGTGTGTGTGTATGTGTGTGTGTGTGTGTGTGTGTGTGTGTGTGTGTGTCACACAAAGGAATTGATAGAAAGTGATGTGCCAAGGAAAATCTACCATACAATAGCTTCAGAAAGGGAACAGGAAGGAGAGCTGAAAAGCAAAGGACAAAAACAATAACACACATTTGACAGGACCGAAAGAGGAAACTCAGACGACTTTCCATTTCCTATAAAATGAAGAACAGATTGCTTTAGTCGTGTTCCTGGTTGCTAAAGGGCTGCAAACTCTCCATAGATAGACCCTGCACTGGCCTACTAGTGGTTTTCTTAAACACAGAACAGATTGTATAAATAGATCAAAGATTTTCACAGATCACAAAGATACCTGCATCGGCTCCAAACAATGGTCAGATTAGTCCTTCGTTTGGCAAGGTCAACAAGGACTATCACTTAGGCAAGAGCTTCACTACAACCTTTCCAGGTCCATCCTTCCCTGACTGCATAGTCTTGATGCATAGTGCTTCCCTCTCGAGACCACACCACGCTTCACGATGGTAAAGACAGACAACAGGATACCTCGGATACCTCGAGAGAGGTGACCTAGTTGTCTCAGCAACAATGATGACACTCAGAATAAAAGAGATCTCCCACTTAGTGATCACAAGGATATCAGAAATAAATCAAGGATTCTGGCTAGGAAAAGAGATGATGCAGAAAGTCAACGGAAGGAGCTGAGGAGGGAGAGGCAGGCAGGTGCTAGAGGACAGCAGAGAAAGGAAATCTGATGGTAGGAGAGTAAAAATAGTGGTGGTCAGGAAAAGGAACAGGAGGCTCAAACAAAAGCTGAGCTGAGCTGTGTAGGAGATCCCTGGGCAGTGACTACTGAAAAGAAAGGGCTGAGCGTGTGAATACAGATAATCAGCTGCAGGGACAGCCCTAGGCTGAGACTGAGCTCTCTCTGGCCTCAGAGGCCACTGAAAGTCTGCCACTCTCTTATGAAGCCACTCAATTCCCACATGGTAAAGACAGACTCCGCTTACAAAACTGCCACATACAAACCTCACTCATGCCCCCAGTTGAACTCAAGGGCAGGCTTTGCTTTTGACAACTGAAAACAATAACCTGTCCAAAAAAAAAAAAAAAAGCTGGATCAACGCCAGAATCACAACTGCAGATGGGTGTGTTAGCACCTTTCGGTGAATTCACTGGGCCCCACATATAAAATTCAAATACTTCATTAGAAATATAGTTCATTGAGGGGCTAGAGAGATGGCTGAGCTGTTAAGAGCACTGGCTGCTCTCCCAGATGGCCAGGGTTCAATTCCCAGCATCCACATGGCAGCTCACAACTGTCTGTAACTCCAATTCCAGGGAATCTTACATTGCCACCCAGCTATACATGCAGGCAAAACAACAATACACAGAAAAAATAAAAATAATAAATCATTAAAAAGAATAGTTCCTTAAAACTTCTGGAAACAATGAGAGACGTATAAGGCAAGATTATCTCCCCAAATTAATCTACAAATTTAACATATTCCACTCAAAACCCAAACTGAATATGTTCAAGGAAAATTGAACAAAATTATTCAAGAGTCCATTTGAAAGACTAAATAAGAATAAAGATTTGGACAGGAAATAATATTTGAGTGGAGGGGAGAGGGAAAAGCTCTTATTATTGCAAAGCAAAATAAAGAATAAAACCAAGATCTTGTAAACAGTGTGACAGTGGCAAAGAGACAGAACCCAAAGTAGAGACCAGAGACCAACACGAGGACACATGGAAATTACATAAGAAAGATGGTGGTGTCTCAGATAAGTAGGGAAGAAATGGTTTCTGCTTCTTCAAGGGTTCATGTACCAACCTGCATGTCCTAAGGACTTTTTCCTTAGTCTGTCTCTCTAGGGTGACTATATTAGCCCAATTTCTGGGATTTCTCATGCTAATGTTCTCATCCACCATGCAGGACACATATGTATAGCTATACTCTGTCAATGAGAATATTATTTGCTAGGCAATCTTTACTTTTTAGTTTCTAAACTATCTAACATGCTTGGACAATAAGCAAAGTACTTTCAAATCAGATAATGAGAACAGAATGGTGCATCTGTTTATGGTGGACTTCTGCAATTTAGGGCCATAGAAAGAGTTTATACGTGGATTTCAGGTAGTCTCAGTACATGTAAAAGTCATTAAAAAGACTGTTTCTGTGTATATGGATCCATTTATTGAGAGAAGGGTTATTATAGCCATCATAATCATTTCAAAGGTCCACTGATTTTTCACAGGCTTATGGTGTTAGCTTTTGTAAGAACAAGCAAAATGAAAGCTCAACACATTTTTTATGGCTCTTTAATGGTAATTGTCAACTTTTATAAGATGATCAACATGTTCTGTTATTTTCCAAAACATTCAAATATTATACACAGCCTCTGTGTGAGAGGGCTTTAGGGACAAGAGCATGAGAAAGGTTAATGTGAACTGATACAGTAATTTAACTATGAAAGTTAACTAATATATGCCATAAAAACCATTATTCTCTTACATGATAGTGTAAGTGAACTGCCAAACTTTGATATTTTTTATATTTGAAATATCTTTATTATAACAATTCTGTACAAAACCTTCCCTGTAGAGCAAAAATCTTTGACAAGTTTTAAAACAACAAAAACCCAGGATAACTTTGCCTTTTTATAGGAAAGTTAAACACACTGCAGGAACCAATGAGTCTTGAGGACCTGAGAGTTAGACACACAGCATTGTGTATCTTGATTTCTGCCACACATCCAAGCCAATTCACTTCCTCACAATTCATCACCCACAGTGTCTTCAGGTGATTCTAAAGAAAGTGATGAGGGCAGAAAGTATTTCACATCAAATTTCTGTGTGTAACTAAAGAATCTCATTAAAACGCTGGGCACTGGGGAGACAGCCCGTGCACAATAATGAGGACCTACATTGAAAAAAAAAAAAAAAAGCACAATGGTAAACACTTGTAATCCCAGTACTTGTCAGGTAGACACAGATGGATCCTTGAAGTTCACTGTCCAGCCAGTCTAGCCTACTTGACAAGCTCCAAGCCAGTGAGAGACTCCACCCCAACATCCAAACTTAACAGCATCCTAAGACACCATATGTTGATATCTGGTCTCCATGCACACACACACACTATAGTTAGAAAGTGTTTCCTTATTATTTTCTCACATTATTCTATGAGAACCCCTATGAGGTACTACTGTGACCCTTATTTCTAAAGGAGAACACTGAAAAGATCAGGTCTCGTGGCCAACTTGGAGCTTCCTGTGCCAGCCTCAGCACCCTTTTCTCTGTTTCACATTTCTGCACATCAGCAAATACCCAGCTGCTTGGTAACTTCCCTCAAGTTTTCCATTTGGTCCCCTTGATAAGGGGTGTCCAATCTTAAACTCCTAGGTACAGTCAACTCAACATGTATTTGAGACACTTAACACAAAGCTGCTCTTCCTAAAACCCATAGGTGGGAGTGCCATCCCTTCATCTCCCTGAAGATATGTGTGACAGGGACATTTACCTATAGATAATTCTCTCTGGTAAGAGACTCTTAGAGGACAACACAAGGTACATATGATCCAAACTAGTTAAGAACCACTGAATTAAAGCCTGTTTAAACCAACTTGTTTTTTATAGTGTAAAATATCAGGGTTACTCTAACCTAACACCCAACAAAATTAATGTCAACACAAATTGGTTA